ACAAGAGCTCAGAACATAACATGAGTAGGAGGTAAGGAATTGGGACAGGTCGGGACTTGGAGCATTCAGTTCTGTTCAGTATGCTCTGTGTGTCTGCAATATTTTTGAAGATACTTCAATGCCTGAACTTTGGTCTAAACAGGCTTGGAGACTGATCTAAAAGACTTTGCTCCCAAGTGGTCTGTGGGTACTTAAAGAGTATGGTTATGTGCTTTCCCCTTCTAGAAGCCAGATCGTGATGACTGGGAGAATGGGCTGACTGCAATGGAGTGTGCCCTGCACCTGGAGAAGAATGTGAACCAGTCACTGTTAGAACTGCACAAACTGGCAACTGAAAAGAATGACCCACATGTAAGTAGATGCTGAAGTGAGAATGTAGCTGTATAATGAGGGGGCTTGCATGTGTCTAATTGTGTGGGTTTGGGGGTGAGTTGTGTGTCCCTCACCTTACTAAAGGTGACAAGGGGTGTAAAGTAGTGGAGCAGCCTTTCCAAAGGAAAAGGCCCAGGTGTCAGCCTGTGTCTTAGCCATTTGGTAGGGTTATTGTCACTTTTTTCCATGAGAACCGGTGGCAGTGTGTTAGGGTGGCTGAGGCCTGACTTAGAGCACAGTGGGCATGCTTTGTTTACACCTTTCTGTTGCTCTTGGGAACAGGGAGCATCCATGTAAAAAGCATTCTGGAGGAATGTATTGAGCTCTGTGGAGAAGATGGGCGCTTGTAAGGCTGTCATAAAACCTTGACAGTTATTTCTTCCAAATGCTGAAATCCTTGGTACTTCAGAACAGTATCTGAAAACACAGGTTTCTTAACAGATAGGTTATTGGCAAGGCTGGATTGAGCCTTCCTATTATCAAGAAGATATTAGCTGGTGCCTGAACCAGATATCATATTATCAAGCAGATATTAGCTGGTGCCTGAACCAGAACTCTTGGAAGTGTCTTGTGTAAGTTAAAGGGATTTCTTCAAAAGAAACAACATAGCTGGACCACTCTACAGGTGTAAAAGCCTCATGGCCATGAACTAAAGTGCTGTGCAGTGGGGGCTTGTAAGCCTTTTTGGAAGCTTTCTTATTGCAATCTGTAAGGAGGAGGAAGGGAAGCTTCCTGGGCTGACATTGTGCTGCAGGGTTCTGGAGCAAGTGTGCCTAGATAAGCCTGCTTCACTTTGGTCTTGTTCTGGCATTGCTGAGGCAAAGCTAAAGGTATCTTCTGCAGCTTTAAAATTGTCATTCTGTATTTTCTCCTTTCCCTAGAGAGGATTGGTAGGATTTCGGATGCTGCTTCCGCCGGGTAAGGGGGGGTTG